ACGAAGACACCGCTGGAGATATCTCAGGTCGTAAGTCTGATTCTGAGAATTCTTTTGCGCGTCTTCCGGAAATCCATGATCTGTCGAGATCTGTCGCACCAAGAAACTTGGCGATAGCCTCACTTTTACCATGTCAATTCGGCGCCGTAACCACACAGGAGGAATCACAACACCAGATAACCGAGTATGATGAATATTTGAGTGGCACTACTAGCCTCATAAGTTAGTCAGTGGCCTTGTGTGTCACGCTTAAGCAGAAGACGCGATCTCATCCCACGATACCCATCAAGTCGTCAACCACACAACGCAGTTTCATGCAACAGTGGCTGAATTCTCATGGAATGACTGGTACGTATACATACAGCTGTTCTCAAGTCACTTTGTAACTCATTAATACCAATGGGCATTTATGTCATGAACGATGAGAACTTATTCGCTAAGCTCTGACGGAGAAGTGTAGGCAAACTTTATTCGACTCCTCAAGAGATCATGGATATAGACCTGTTCTCGCGAGCCCAACTGTACAAATCTAGATTAACATGTACTGGTGAACTACAGGACAAAGCTCCGTGGCTACGATTATGAACTTCAGGGTCAACCCCGACTGTTGTGAGAGGCACGAATTTCAAACTTGTACAGTACTCCGATCTATCAAGCTCTACAAAACAACTCTCTCGTCGTCTATAGACAAGAAAGAAGTGGAACGCTCGTCGTGTCGCCAGGATCAACTCTCTTCCAATGAGTGTTCTTACCAAAGACCTTTCGACCCGTCGTTGTTAGTACGGTGCGACCCCGGACGCCGATCAAGTTCTAGACTTCACGATGACTTACATGAGTGACCATCGTGACCGAGATAACCGACTGACAGCGTACGATAACGAATCAGGGTCCAATCGGCAGACTTTAATTAATGCCTGTGCTCCCAAGATTGAACTTGGGCCAAAGAAGGTAGATCAGTGGGTTGAAGATTACGGTTATGTCTACCATTGGCCAGCTACTTATTTGCCACTATATAGATAGAAACACACAGATGGGACAGCCTTTGCCTCTTCTGGCAGCTTATAATGTGGATGAAACGGGGCTGTTTTGTTGCAGTCTTATCTGTGTGGTATGTCATGCACATGGGTGTCGTGGCATACTCAACATTTATACTGGCTACTGCTCCTAACCAACAGGCTTTGTAAGAGTAATCTCTGCACTTGCTATGTGATATGCCTATTAGAGAGGTTGCTCTGACTATTTAATAAGGGCCAATCGTTAAGAACCAAGTTTAATCAAGCTCCTGTAGGTTAGCTTATCTGAACATACGACTAGCGTCATGAGAAGGTATACCCAACAAGTATCATTTCACAAAGAAAAGATCAGGTAATTAGACGTCGAAACATAATAAATCGCTATATTGCAGCTTACTGTTGCTGGATGTGTTGTACGACCGTCCTCCATGGCTATAAGCTGTAGTCATTTGGACGCGGAACTACCAAATCGGATATTATTCCGCACTGGGCGCAATTGACATGAAAGCGGGGGCTCACCTTCAACTTTCAGTTCTGACTCCTCCTCAACCTTTCACATCAACGGATAATTGTACCCGCTTCTAGATAAACGCTATCCCCGAGTTTCATGATATGGCTGCAGACTCGGGTGACAGAAATGATCCCGGCAGGAACTTATCTGCGGTCGCTATTCCCGGGTCATCCATTGGTGGGGAACATCTCGGTACCCCATTCTTGGACGCCTTGGCCTTGGACACTGCCGATGGACTCACCTTTGATATGAACGGTGACCTATGGTATGCAGAATCAAGTCAATTGCCAGTCGATATCAATACACCCAACTCAGATCAGAGTCAAAACGCCCTTCATCAACGCCAGACCCACCTTCAACAGGCCCCAGACTTACAGCCGGACGTACCGACAACCCAAGTGATAGGCCCGTCAACCCAGATTCTACAGGGCCGCAAAAGTAACAAGCTCGACTCTCCAACCCCAAACTCAACATCAACTCACTCTCCAATCAACACAACCTCAACACTTCCCCCAAAGGTCGGCCACCGCTTCACCCTCGAAGCCCTCCGCTCTCTAAAAGAATGGTTCTCAGCACATGTCGACAATCCCTATCCCACCGAAGAGGAAAAGACTCTTCTTGAACATCAAACAGGCTTGAGTCGAACTCAAATCACAAACTGGTTAGCAAACGCGCGAAGACGTCGCATTGTGGCTGACAGTCGCACGAATGGTAGTGGTCAGACACCCGAAGAGTATACACCCACAAGGTCAGGAACGCCGATTCCGAGAAGGGGCCAAACATGGAGGGACCTTAATCCTATGCAGAGATGGCAGAATTCACCACCGGAGAATGAACCGGCTCTCGTATCGGATATCGCAAGGGCGATGGCTTCAGGAGAATTAGTCTCAACTAGTAAGTCATCGTCAACCACGATCTTTGACAGCTAATCTGACAAAGGGCAGGAGGCCGAAGAGGAACATTCTCAAGCGATGAGAAGATACCCCGAAGACGTCGCCACCGATCAACAACCAGTAGTCTAGGCACATCAAGAAGTGGATCGACAGAGTCACGTTCATCCAGGGGCTCCATCAGCGGAACCTCATCCCACAGCCGTGGTCGCTCAATACAGAAGATACGACCGCAGAAGAACTCACTAACCAAGCCTCGATTCACCTTCCAATGTACCTTCTGCACTGAGACCTTCAGAAGGAAGTACGACTGGCAGCGACACGAGAACTCATTGCATCTTCCACTCGAAAGGTGGGAATGCTCACCGAACGGAACAACCGCTATTAATCCGGATACTGGACAACTATGCTGTCTGTTTTGCGGCCATGGAGATCCTAGCGAGGCACACTTGGCGAGCCATAATCCGTCTGCATGCCAGGAAAGAGCGTTCAGCAGGAAGGATCATCTCAAACAGCATCTGCGACTTGTACACAATGCTGTACTGACTGACCTTACTACGAAACTGTGGAAGACTACTCAGCCAGATATTGTCTCGCAATGTGGGTTCTGTCAAGCTTCATTGAGTACATGGCCCGATAGAGTTGACCATCTGGCGAACCACTTTAAACTAGGCTGTACGATGAGAAGTTGGGTTGGAGATTGGGGCTTTGAAGACTCTGTGCTCAAGACAATCGAGAACGGAATGCCTCCATGTAAGTCGCGACATTCGACACGATGAGCTTTGCTAATGGTATCAGATTTGGTCGAACTAGAGCGCGGCACACCGTTTCCATTTACCGCCAATGGCAGACCACCTGATTCGCCTCGAAGTGCATACGAACTCATCACAATGGAGTTGGCATACTTCATCCAGAACTACAACGACACAAAGAACACGCTCCCAAGTCACAGAACGCTGCAACTTGAGGCATGTCGCATTGTATTTGGATCCGAAGTAACATTTCCCGAACTCAATCCAGGCTCGCACGGAGGCTCTTCGTGGCTCAGAGACCTGCTATTGTCGTCTGACGAGATTGTCCAACAAGCTCGGTTCGCACCAATACGATCGCGGACAGAGAGCCGATTATCGGTGTTGAGGATCAAGGGTAAGAACGCCCTGTTCGAAGACTGTCCACTCGAGGCTCGCCTGCAAACCTTTATGCGCTCGCAGCGAGAAAAGGATATCCATGCGACGCCAGACGGTGAGTTGCAGAGAGAAGCTGGCCGAATTGTGTTGCAAATGGAGAGTGAACTGCACACGAAGCCTGAGTATGTGGCGAATTGGCTGATTGGGTTTCTCAATTATTCGACAAGCTGGATTGGCGAGTTTAGGCGACGTACAGATTCGGTGTTAGCGAGCGACAGCAAGGAGGCTTTCACGACGAGCCATGGTGCGTTATGGCAAGACCAACCCAGTGCTCAACCACAGCCCAACGATCTACCATGGACTGGGCAAGCATCGTGGCCTACTGGGAATGACTGGGAACTTGTTGAACATGGCGACTTGGCAGACACTGATATGTCCTGGATAGCAGAGAGGGGCGATAGAGCCAACTCGACACCTGCTGATACATTCCTTCAAGACTTTACATGGCTATGGTCAGATGACCAGTCGCCACCTGTCATACCACAAACAACAGATAGCCCCAATGCAGAAGGACAGTCAACACTCCGGCCGACATGGCTCGGCCCCGGAATCTACGTCCTGAATGATCCGAATCACATTCCATGGTTTGCGCGCGAGATGAAGCGATGGGTGAAAGCAACAATGTCGCCAAACAATCCCATTTGTCATGTCCCGTCGGATGAGGAATTGAGACATCAAGCGCGTTGTCTCTTATATAACGAGTAAGGCTCTATTCTCAGGTCTTAAGTGATACGCTTTGCTGACAGTAAATAGCGACGACCCTTGGAACCAAACACCAGCAGACAACCCTCAGTGGCTGGAAATGTTTAAAAAGGACTTAAAACTGTAGTTTTATTGGCAATGTCTATATATTTCAACGCAGGGACTGATTTAATACATAAGCCTTTTCTCGCATTGATCAATTCAAGACTTCTTCATTTAAAGCTATGGTATTTATCCCAACGCACACAAGATACCCCTGACCCATGAATAACTTCATGAGGAGTCGGATCGTAAATGCATCAGACAACCTACTTACAGGAAGTCTGCTACCCCACGGGGTTACAATACTGATGACCTCCGGGACCTAGGCCTCCGGTAACCGTAGTCTCGGAAGTTTGACGCAACAGGGAGAAGGGGAAAGGGGGAAGTGGGGCGGGATGGAGAGAAACGATCAATCAATAAAAGAGAAGACAGAGATTACAGTGTAGGTTCAGAAGGACAAAAGATAATACCTAGATAGTACAATCAACAATCATATGCGCGTCTCCAACTACATCAAGGTACTACTGCAGTGATGAGCACTGGCTGTACCCTCTGTCTCGACATCCATACTGAGTGACCATCAACCACCAGGGTGACACAGACTCCTTAGCATAGAAAGACGTGCGTAAAAGGGGTAAAAAGGCAAAAAATTGAACCCCCCTTCCGGGGTTTGAACCCGGGGCTCTCCCTGTTCTCCTTGTACTTAATGACGACACCGGGACCAAAGCCTCCGGATGGAAGGAAGTATGCTACCACTGCACCAAAGGGGGTTGTATTGTTGTTGCTAGATCTTAGACGTTCAACGGCTATGTACCTTTGGCTGATCATCACATTTAGCGTCGAAAGATGTCGAAAGGGTAAAAAAAGGAATCCCCCTTCCGGGATTTGAACTCGGGTCTCTCCCTTCCATGATTCTACTCAGGATAATACCGGCCCGTGGGCAACGGCAGGGAGCGCGCTAACCACTGCGCCAAAGAGGGTTTGTTTCGTTGTTACTAGGCTGCAGGTCTTGAAGCATTACCTGACTATGGCTGGTCGCTGAATGTAGCGTCGAACGAGGTTGAAGGGCAAAAAAGGAGTCCCCCTTCCGGGATTTGAACCCAAGACCTATCCCCAGCTCTTCAACTTTAAGGGCCCGAGGGTATGCCAGGCCCTGTGCCATTTAATATGCTTGGGATCTGACAACTGCAAGAGTAGATGAATGACTTCCCCCTTTCCCGGGCTCCCCATGGCACGACGTGGTGTTGGGCCAAAGGAAGTCTTTTCCTTTACGGGAATTAGGACATAACAATAAAGACCCAAATCTCTTGCTTTCTTCTATTCCTTCAGCTAACCAATAATTTGATAATTTGCGTCGCGATTCATCTACGTTACCTAACAGTCCCTTTGTTGTTTTCCATCGCAGCCACCACCGCTGCGACCGTCACTAGCCTTCCATTAACCTCCCTCCCCCTCTCCTCTATGTCTATAAAATACCTCCAGACCACGGTTGCTCTTGTTATTCGGTACGTTATATTTTAGTGTTAGTTAACTTCTCTCTATTATATCAGACTTCCGAAAACACAGTTACCAGAGGCCTTAGCCCCAGTTGTCGGTTACAGTATAGGCCTTCGGGTAGTAGACTTCCTATAAGTAGGTCGTCTAACACATTTAGGATCCGACTCTTCCACCTTCTCCTCTTCTCCTCCTCTCCTGCTCTCCTCCTCTAGCTTTGCACACTATCTATCTGCAACTTTTAAAATACAGTTACTGGAGGCCTTGGTCTCGGTAGTAATTCAGTCTTGTTCTGCCTTTTTCTTTGATGAAGTGAGGATTGTGATAAGCTGCTGTAATGCGTCTTGTTCAGATGAGGTTGCTTCCGACTTTGTGCGTAAGTCGTCAACTTGAGTGCGCAACGCAGCGTTCTCAGCCTGCAGGTTCTCGTTTGATGCAGATAGCTCGGAGACCTTTCGGTGGAGCTCATTCAATTCAGCAGATGTTTCCGGACCTTGTGCAGTGTTGACTTCTTTGATGGCACGCTTGGGGGGCTCATCCTGTTCGCTGAGACGATGCTCGAGCTCGTCTCGCTCAATGCGAAGATCGGATACTCGCTTTCGTAGTTCCTCAATCTCGAACGACGTGGGGCCTTGGAGCCCCTTCTCATTTGAGACCGGAACTCGAAGGTGACTGCGGAAGCTTCGAAGGACCCAAGAAGGATCAAACTCATCGGTTGCAATCAGAGAGTAGAGATGTGGGCGAGCTGCCGCAAAGAGGGTCATATGCAGTTCGTGATCGCCCTTATATTTGAGGGCGACGCGAACCACGCCGAGGAACGCTCCGTCATTCCAGTGGAGGGAAATGATTTTCTCAATCTGCTTTCTAGCGAATTCTGAAAGCTTCGGGATTTTGTAGCGAAGTCCCATACCACTCATGTGTACATGACGAATAAGCAAGTCTCGAATGAAGAGTGCTTCGGCAGGGTCCTTTCCGGTGCCCGCTGCAAAGGGTCAGTGGCCGCCGACGGCCTAGTAATATATTCGCTTACCAAGTGCTTTTACACTAGGGAGGAGTGCGCAGTTCACCTCATATTCACTCCTCTTCAGGAACTCAATAAGGCAGTTGACAGCATCAAGATCGAAGTCCGTAACACGGACGAATGCTTCTTTTCCCTTCTCGTTTGCCGATTCGGCTAGTGCCAGTAAAACAGGGGACTCTTCCGCTGCGGTGTTTGGGATGACGAAAACATAGCTCTCGCTGAGGAGCTTCACTCCTCCTGTCTGTCGGGTCATCTTGATGTTGTTGTTGAGGAGAGAAAGAAATGGAAGGAAAACAAGCTGAGATTGATCAAGGAAGGTGGGGCGGGGCAATCATTCACAGCAATCGACTGCCTTGCTGCCTGATTTGAGCGCAAGTCTTAGTGAATTCTGAGGTTAGGTGATCATAAGGAAATAAAATCTTTGCTGAGTCTTTGTCCATTTAGTCTAAACTCCCCTAAGGGGGTGGGGGTGCCCTATCTCGCTGAGCATCGATATTCACCAGATGCTACCTATAGTATCGACTTGGCTCAGAGTAACGGTGGAGGAAGATGTCGGTATAAGAATGCTTCACGGAATATGGTCATGAACGCAGTTGGTAACATGTTAACCCCTCCATTCGCCTTTAAATGCCTTTTATCTCACGAAGAACGCACCTCTTATTGGGTAACGTGGACTGAAGCTAAACAGAGAGATGTTCTATCTATTTTAAGAACAGGCGAAAGAGCTAAGATGGTGAATGATATGCTGGCGGAGCTCAGAAGCGACCAAGATCCTGCAGTTATCTTGCTTGATGGCCTCATCTTGCTCAATGATCGAAAGTTTCGTCGCCGAGACGGTGTTTGCCCTTCCCCTACAGACCTCCGAGCCATTTACCATAAGCTCCTCAAAATCGCCGAAAGGTACGGAATTTCTCGTCCCCTTTTCCAGCACTGCTGCACTGTACCTGCAAAGAATGGTCGTGGTCGTGTCTTCTACCCGTACCATGCATTGTCACACTCTCAGGCCATTGCGATCGGATGGAATTGAGTTATGCTCTTCAAAACAAAAAACCTGGCCCTGCTGACTATGCTAACGGCATGCAACAAACCTGCCGGGGACACTGGTTCTGGCGAGCCCCAAGTCAACGGTCTCATTTACATCTACTGGCAACGCCATCATATCTGCCACGAGACCCAGCAAGTGATTACTCAAAGACCCGAGGCAGGTCAAGACGAGATTACTGGGGATATCCTGGATCTATGGGCGCTACCCAGGGTACCTTGGAGATGTCACCCGTTCAAAGCCTCTCTGTGCAAGAAGCATACCAACAGCATAGCGATGAAGTTCGGCATTAGTTTGAGAACTTCGATCCAGTCCAAGACATCGACTTTCAGCAGGCCACGGTTATAATGATGAGTTCCTGGAGATCAGCATATCTGCTCAAAGACGTTGTCGAGCAAGGCGCTTAGGAAATAAATAGGTACAGGAAGACCCCTGAGAACCAGGTCGGTAACAGAACAATTGTCTCTTGAGGCTTAGACCACTAGAATAGAATAGCCTAAGCGCTAGCCTAAGTTTTCATAAGTTGCCTAAATTATTTCGTCTCTTATGCTTTTAGCGGCCATTTCGTCTTACATTCTGGCGTGAACTTTGGCGCAGATAGCTGCTGTTTACCCGGGGAACAAGACTTTGCCAACTCTTTATTCGCTCCTTTTGTCCCGTTTCGAGACTGGACCTCGTGTTGCACCCCGACTTGCCTGCTTCCTGATGTATCCTACCACGCTCTGCACACCGAGACTGACTGAAGCCGTAGTCGGCAAAAGGAGGCGGGTGCTGGGCTTGCGGCGGCAGCGCTGGCTGTTGACGAGAGCGGATGACATTTAAGAGTCGGTATCATACAGTAGATAGAGATTGTACCGGCTGTGGTGAATGGTCAGTAGCTATGGGGCTGGCGAGAGAGGTAGTATAAGAGGCAGTGGCATCGCTAGCCACATGTGTCTGGTCAGCGAGAATAGGGAAGTATACAGCCGGCATAAATGGTTTCAGATTGGGCTCACATATGGAGACTTATCAATACAGGGTACCGTGGGAACCCACGGGACTAATAAGCAAATCTCGTAGGTAGTAGGTATATAGCGAGATCAACGTCCGTAGCTACCAAGCCCAAAATAGTAATACAGAAACAAAGATCTGATAGTTACTCGGGGTCTGCTGACGCGTCCGGTGATAAGCCATAGGTACATAACCGTTAAACATCTGAAATCTAGCAACAACAATCCAACCCCCTTTGATGCAGGGGTAGCGCACTCTTTACCGTTGCCCTCGTGGCCGGTTTTTGCCGTGAAGCAAGAGAGAGAGACCCAGGTTCAAATCCTGGAGGGGGGAAATCATCCTTTTTTTCTTTTTTTGCCTTTTTGACCCTTTCACGCGGCGGGTGAGGGTCGCTCAGTATGTTGAGATATAGAAAGGGTGCAGCCAGTGCTGATCACTGCACTGTTATTTGTAAGTACCCTGGTTTAAAGATGCGTATATGATTGTTGATTCTGTTATCTGTGATCTTTTACCTTTCTGAGACTATAATATATTCTCTGTATTATTTCTTGTATTAATCATTTCTTTCTATCTCGCTAGTCTAGAACCGAAGGAGAGATCTCTACTCTACTGGGTGTCCAGTCTGCTGATATTTGTTCAAGGTGTTGTTTTGTTAACTGTAACATCTTATAAGGCTAGAGTAGACGAACTTGAGTAGAAGCTGGGTTTTGTCTTGCCGCTAGATGGACTTGACAGTCTTGTAGATAGAGTTATACCCCTGAAGAGACTTTTCTTCCAACTCTTCGAAATTCTGTCCTCTGAATCTCTCGGGATCAAGCGCTGTAATTCGCCTCTCATCCGCATCTTTCCCATCAATAACATCTGTCAGAAACCTGGCTGTACCAGCTGCATGCGTAACCCAAACAGCAACAGCGGTATATAGCCCCTCTACAGACCCAACCTTGCCGGCGAGAGGCATGTTATCAGGCGTCATTGAGAAAACACCATTAAACATTCTTCCATCCTTGAATTCCCCTGCAGCAACCGGGGGTAGTAAACCCGTTGCGAACTTCAGCGGTTGTTTGAACCAATCCACCCAATCTCCGGTAGCAGTATCCGATGGCTTTTGACCAATAGGTTGGTGGTCGTAACTTCCAATGCCAAAGTTTGTTCCATGATCGCGGGCATAGACGTGATGCTCTGGCCATCGTACGAAAGGAAGCTTGCGAGGCAGAGGACTCCTG